CAAGGGCATTTTCTAGCCAACCTTCGTCGGCGAACTACGTCTGCAGCATGTCTCTGTGGGCCTTGCAACGCTCTCGATTTCCAATGGCATGGGCAGGACTCCGCCCATTGCATGGCCATGTCCATTGTCTCGCCCACCGCGTCGATCATGTAAGCATATGCCCAGAAAACCTTCGAGTTGATGGCTCTATCAGCTATCTCTATGTTGATGTTGTGCTCTGGATTGTCATCTTGATCTCGTCGAGCATTGCGGCTACGTCCAAGGGTATACTTCTGCTTACTCCAAGCAGCTCCACGCAGCTCTCAACGAGGTTCCCAACAAAAGCAACTGACCGACAGCATGCGATACCGATGTCTATCGTCCCTCGTAGACTCCAGAACTGCAGCTTGCGTAGTCGTTGCGATAGTGGCTGAAAGGGAGCTCGTTGAAACATGTCTCAAGCAAACGTTGTCTAGACCATTTTCGAGCGAGTAGTCGGCACACGTGGCGTAGCTCCTCTATGAAATCGCCCCACTTCTCCAACACTAGATTCAAATCCTTAGTACAGTTCGCGACGATGTGCAGCACGCCTGGTATGTAAATCCCACGTGTCAGATCAATACCTAGGCTGCTCCAGTCGATGTCTCCATCGCCGCGTGGCTCGTGCGGGTCTTGCTCCTGATGTGGTTGCTCTGGTTCAAATTCAAACTCGCTCACATTGGCCTCAGCAGCTGCAGCGGGGGCAGGGGCCTCTGGTTGAAAATCGAATGGCGCAAGCGGCGCAGGAGCGCCCCCGCCGCGATCGGTATTTTGATTCGTAATCCAAGGTCCGTATAAATCAACCAACTTACACTTAGAACCAAAGAGCCTGGACTCAGTGCCCATATCACCCGTGCATGTGAAGGTAGCGTTGACAAGCTGCGCTGCGGATTCCCAAGATGAAGACACTAGGCGTTGAGCGTGGACGTGCGCGTGCAATTTGTAACGCATGTCCGCCCTGCCACTGCCCACGGCCACGGGCATGCCCTGCTTGAGTGCGAGGATTGCTTTCAGGTCGTTGCAAAGCTCCAATATGCGATGTTTCATCTCGTCGCTGATCTCATCAGGGTCCTGGTCAAGGCAACCACGACATGCAAGAATGTATTCGTTCGCCTTCGTAAACGATGACAGTGCTTTGGCCATTGTAGTAGTAATGTGGCCGTAAAGAAGCCAATCCCAGCCTGCTTGTGGGGAGGCGTCCATGGTCATCCAGCGTATCACCTCTCCGGGCCCGTCTCTGAGTAATATATCGTTCAAGTAGCTCTGGTAATTGCACCACCCCAACACCAACATGAACCGATGGTGGTACAATCTTGACGGCGACGGCGGCTTGAAAGGGCCCTTCAGCAAGCCAAGGAGGTAACCCCGTTGATCTTCATGTGGTACACCTGCGTCAATGGCACGCTCTAATGCTCTCTGATAATTATTTGTGGACTTCAGGGTGCCGCTGAATAAAAGACACTTCACAATGACTTCAGCTGCATAGAAGCTTTTGGATAATGCTGCGTAGTCCAAAACCATACCGTTGTACACTCTATCCAGCACAGGAATCAGACGCTGAGCATCTTCGGCTGCTTTCTGTCGCTGCTCAGCGTTGTCGCCCATGCTTTGGCAGCACTGGCGTAAAGAGTCTGCTATCTGAAGCACCCCTCCAGGTGATGATATAGAGAAACCTTCAGCGCCAACGTTCTCTGGAGCAGGAGGACGTTCAACATTTAGGATGGCTCGGAGGTGCCATAGTCCCAGTGATCGCTGTAGTCGTCTGCTTGCTGGGAAGGGAATCAAGTAATTTGTCCAGGCACCATGTCTCAGCAGCATTGCGTGGGGCAGAGGTACATCAAACACAATCCTACCATCCAGGTCCTCGCATCCAGTCTCTTCGCCCCACGATTGCAATATGTCTTTCATGTACGCCCCTGCAGTAGGCGCGCCCGATTGGCAATTCCCCAAACGGTCTGCGCTGGCACGAGTCATTCTCCAGAACATTCCAGTCTGTATCTGTGTGAGCGAAGATGGCTGAGCGATTTGTTTGTCTATGAGTTCGTTTCGCAGCACTTCAAAGATAAGCATATCGTGGCCACCCCACGCTGAGCAGTCCCAGAAACTCTTCACAGCTCTCTGCTGCTGCGTGAGGACACTGAGAGGCGCAACACACGCGACAGGCCGCAACAAGAGAGCACCGACAACATGATTTGCGAAGCCTTCGCATGCATGAGACCACTCCTTGCCAGATGCATCGTAGCCATCCTGATAAATATTGCTCAAATCGCGTTTGACCAACGGCTGGTAAAGGCTAAACAGGGAATCTTTGTTGAGATTGGTCTTGTACGGGCGCGCTCTGTCAGAGCGGACCCTCAGCCACACACACACAGGTTGCATCGAATTGAGCCCAAACGGCTGCTGAATGTGGTGTGGGACCCGCAGTGAAAACTGATGAGGAGGGGACTTCGGCTGGGAGGGTGTATTGCAGCATTATTGGCGCATCATGGGTTTGTTTTATGGTACTTGATCCCCTTTTTTTTCGTCTTCTCTTTTTTATCCTGTCTTTTTTCTCCTCTCTCTTCTCTCCTCTACCCTACGCTTGTTCTCCCCCTCGTTTCTAGGATTTCAGGGACCAGGGAGTATTTAGGAGGAGGGGAGATGGGATATGGGACTGGAGGATGTATTGCAGCATCGCTGATGCATGCTAGGTTCCCTCTGGTATTAATCCTCATCCTCCTCCTCCTCCCCCTCCTCCGACTCCTCCGACTCCTCCGACTCCTACTCCTCATCCTCCTCCCCCGCGCGCCTCGTGCCTCCGGAACTTGGAGAGCACCATCGGGCCATCGGGCCCCGATGGGCCAGAGGGGGCTGGCGGCCGGGCCGCCCCCCTGAGAAAGGCCAGCGGCGAGCGAGGGCGAGGGCGAGGGCGACCCTACGACGACGGCGACGACGACGACGACAGTGACGACAGCGACGGCGACGACGAGGACGACGGCGACGAGGACGACGGCGACAACGACGGCGGCGACGGCGGCGACGAATGGGACGACGAACGCGACTACGTCCGACGCTGGTGCGACGACGATGGCGACGGGCGGCGAAGACAACATTATTCCTCCTCCTCCTCCTCCTCCTCCTCCTTATCCTACTACCTCCTCCGATCTCCTCGGCCTCCTCCCTCTCATCCTCATCCGTCCTCGTCCCTCCCTCGTTCGTCTTAGCTTCCGAAGCCTCCCCCTCCTCTCCCTTCGCCTCCCTCCTCCCTCCCAGCTCCCAGGAAAGAGGGGGACGACGACGACGAGGAGTGAGGAGAACGAAGGCGGAAGGATGGCGAGAGGAGGAAGACGAGAACGAAGGGGTGAGAAATCGTCGAAGGATAGAGGGAGGGGCAGAGGCGAAGGACAGAGGAGGGGGGAGAGGCAAAGGGGAGAGTTGGAGGTGGATGTGACACGGACCGTGTCCAAGAGGGCATTAGGTCTCAGAGCCGATTCTTGATATCTTGGACAGATCGTTCGGCGATTCGGGGTTCTCTTGGACTGTCTTTGGGGCCTCTTGGGGTACTCTTGGCCCGTCTTGGGGCTTTTTTGGGCTCCGGGACTCCCAGGGGGGGCGTCGTATCTGACCCCCTCCCCCTGGAACACCCCCCCCGGCGGGGGAGGGATCTTAGGGAAGGGGCTTCCCTTCGACTCAATTACGACGTTGCTCAACTTCGCTTTGGCTGTCGCGCTGATGAGGTTCCTGGGAAAGGGGGGAGCTTCGACGAGCCCAGGGAAAGGGGGGAGGCAGGGAAAAGGGACGACAGAGACGACGACCAACGAATGACGGAGATGACAACTTGAACGGACAAGCCCCTCACACACGCCGACAGGGTCGGCGATTTTTTTTTTATGCTTCGTATAAAATCTGCCTGTAGGGGGACATGTCCGACCTAAACCCAGACCCCCTCGAGTAGTGAAGAAATCGTGACGGGAGGTTTTTCGCCAGTTCTTCCTCCGGGGGCCCTCGCCGGGCCTCGGGGCCGTCGAAAAACAACTTGGGATGAAAAACCAGTCCTGGGGAATTGGTTCAGACTTCGGGGGGTCGATGTAACGAAGACATCATGACGTTGGGGGTCTGGGCATCAAGAAATCATGACGGGATTGACGGGATGTTCTTCGCCATTTTCGGCCCCTGGTGGCCATCGCCGGGCCTCGGGACCCTCAAACAAGACTCGGGATGAAAAGCCGGTCCCGAAGTTCTAGACAAGTCATGACGTCGGGGGTCTGGGAACGGGGTCGTCGGCGCAAGCACTGGCTCGCAAGCTGCTGGCGTGGGCCTGCGCGCAGGCGCCCTCGCTGCAAGCGCAGCACGCCGCGCTTGCGGCCCGCGCAAGCCGCCGCGCAAGGGCGCTGTGCCATCTCGCGTAAGAGACCCGCTTGCTTTCGTCGCTCAGGTTATGTTGCTCCCATCGTACTTACGGATCAAATCACAAAAATGATTTCGAGCACCCCGAAGTGTCGAAACTGTGTCGAACGAGTGCCCCAGGACAACCCCGCCAGAATCTGCGACGAATCCCCGAAATCAAATCCACAGTTACTGCGACCCCCTCGGGAATACCCCCCCAAATCGACAGAGGTGCGACAAGAAGGGCCGGCGGAATGAGCGACGCGATCAATAATTCTGAGCACCCCGAAGTATCGAAACTGTGTCGAACGAGTATCGCCTCCTAGAGCCCGACACGTGAAAACCCTCCAGCTCGGCACTTCTCTTGGTGATCCACATTCCCTCTGGTGCTTCAGGCTACCCAGACCCCCGACGTCATGATTTTTTCATTACGTCGACCCCCCGAGGACTCAACCTGCTCCCGGGGACCGACTTTTCATCCCGAGCCGTTTTTTGACGGTCCCGAGGCCCGGCAAGGGCCCCCCAGGCCGAAAATGGAGGAAAAAACCTCCCGTCGTGATGTTTTCCCTGCTCGTGGGGTTCGTGGCAGGTAGGCTGGAACCTCTCGTAACGCTCAGGTGGAAGACGCCGCGCGGGCTTTCCGGAGGCACCTGGCGGCGCGCCGGGAGCACGCGCTCGACGCCGCGCGGGAGCACGTGCTGGAGAGGTTCGGGGGCCGGCTCTGGGAGCTGCGCGCGGAGGAGCTCCCGCACGGGGAGACCGTCTGCAGCTTCCTGCCGGAGGTCTTCGGGGGGGGGGGGGCTGGCCCTGATCGTCGGGCACGTCCCCTCGACAGGAGGAAGACTCCACCACGAGGGTTTAAAAAAGACAGTCTGGGGGCGACTCTTTCCGTTTTTTTTTTGGTGTGTGTGTGTGTGTGTGTGTTTGTCCCTCTACCATTTCCGATTTTGTTGCTGGGCTGTTTGCAGGCGCTTCGTCGAGGAATCCGCCTGCAGGGGGCCTTGCCCGACCCGAGGCTACAGTCGGGGCCCTGAAGAAGGAACCCTTTTCGTTGGGGAGGGGCTCCGCGTTCCTTAAGTGTTTCACAGCTTGCCTCAGGTTTTCCTTATGTTTTCGACGGGTAATCGAAGTTTAACCCATGGAAAAAGGGGCCTCGTTCCTTATTTTGGGTTCCTTAGGTCAACGCCCCGGCTGTAGGCCGAGAGTCGGAGCGGCGGCCCGGGGGCTTCCCTTCGGGCAGCGAGCTGCGCCCCGCCGCGCGCGCGCCAGCCGGGCGCGCCCAGAGAGAAGTCGTCCCGAGCGGCCGCCAGAGACCCGGGCCGTGGCCCGAGCGCCACCCGTCTTTGGACTCGGGCAAGTTTGCTTGCATGGCGTTCGCCCCCCCCCCCCCCCCCCCCAACACACTCCACCCCTCGCCCCTCTTCTATCGAATACGAGCGTGCAAGTGCCTTTCGACTTGCGTGATTTCAGCGCGTGAAGTCGTTTGCGGTTTACTTCAGGTTCAGCCCCACCCCCCCCGCCCATGCAAGTAAATTTGCTAGAGTCAAACAAAAAACAAGCTCATTCCAAATCCCTTCTTCATCGACCCACCTCGAAAAAAAACCAGACCGCCCTCCAAATGCGGCCTGAGATTCTGGACCCCTCTCTTCGACGGGGCGCCGGAATGAACCGGACCCCCCCCCAAGCTCCCATCCAAAGAGTGCGCCCTCGTATAAACCGGACCTCCCCAGTTCATTACAAAAAAGGCGCCTCAAAGAACCAGACCCGGGGGATGACTATAATAAGAGATTTGGAGTGAGACTCGAGTTGGTGGAACGAGCAATGGCAGAAACATAGAAACTCGGAGGTCCGCGCGGATTTCTCGGATCGGCGCTTGGGCCCCCTTGGCGGCGCCTCGGCGCCGCCCCTGGCGCGCTCCGCGCGCCGAGGAGGGGGGCCCAGCGCGGATCCAAGGAATCCGCGCGGGCCTCCGATGTTTGATGTTTGTGTGGCTCTTCTTTCCCCCAGTACGGTAGAGGGAAACAACTTGTGAACACCCCCCCCTGCCCCCCAAATTCAAGGTTGGCACGCGCGGGGGAGTATGCGGTCGAGGTGCAACTCAGCAGACCCACCGCCAACTTTGAACATTGGTGGGAGGGGGAGGCGTTCACAGATGAATGTGGCGTTCACAGATGAATGTGGCATGAGTGTTCGCTATTTTTTTCCGAGGCCTGTACGACTCGAGTGCGCCGAAACTCGGGTTTGCCAACCCTGTGTGACGAGCGCGTCCTGGATGCTGATGGTCTAGTTCGCGTGGGACGTCTGCAGGCGGCAGCCCGCGTCAAATTTCAGACCGGGCCTCGTCATTTCCATTTTCTGGCCCTGTCAGGCCAACCCGAGTCCCCCGAAGGACGCATCGACCTCCAATCGCCTGTGGAGGGCCGCCCGGGGCCCGAGTTCACACCCCGCCCAGGAGCGTGTGCGGTGCCGCTGTCGGGGGCCTATAATTACCGCCGATGCATCGGTGGTGCACCCCCGATTCCGGGTGGTGGATGTCTCCACTTGCTCCTCCTCCTCCTCCTCCTCCTCCTTCTCTTCCTCCTCTTCCTCCTCCTCCTTCTCTTCCTCCTCCTCCTCCTCCTCCGCCTTTCAGACCATTACACCCAGCAGCGCATGTATCAACCGTGGTACCGTATCTCAATCACGCGCAGAAGCAGTACGGCATTTAGCCCGATCATGGCACGCAGGAAGATGTGTAAGACTTACTACGGCGTACCCATCCTTGTTCATCTCCCCCTATTTCATGTACATGTGCACTGTGCGGCATGGAGTACCCCACGTACGAGACCCTCCGTAGTCATCTATGCTCGCACCTGCCGCCGACGCAGGAGGGTGCATCCATATCAGTGGTCGAGCCGAGACCTCCACCTGCTCAGCCGCAGCCCCCCCGGCCAAAACCCCTTCCGAGAGCCACCTCGCAGCCAGCCGTGCCCCCATTTCGGGGAAGCGACTTTCGAACAGCTCAAGGCCTACTGGTGAAGACACGTACTCCTACGGGGGCCTGCGATGCGGGCGTAGCGCCCAGCAGCGGCCTCCTCGGCTCTGTCAGCGAATGATGGGACCGCCTCCACAGACGGAGGTCGGGATAATCAGAAGGGCGAGTAGGGCGGCATCCAGAGGGGCGCTGCCAAGGAGGGGACGGGGAGTAAACCGCGAGTGTTCAGAGGAGGGCGTCATCGTGCCGAAGCGAAGGAGCGCAAGCTCAACACGTAGGACACGGGCCTCAAGGAGTTGCTGCTGCTACTATCGATGCAGGTGGCCCAGCGCACTCAGAAGTCGATGGCGATGTGGGGAGCAGTCAATCGTACGGTTCTGGTCGAGAACTCGCACGCCGTGGTGGTAGTCATGCAGGAGGAGAACACAAGGTTCGCGGCACGAGCGGCAGACCTACGAGCTCAGGTGGGCAAGCTCACGGACCAGGCGAAGGCTGCGAAAGGGGACCGACAAAGCAGCGGAGGAGAAGGCCAAAAAGGAGGCGAACGACGTACAAGACGAACTACGGGGATTGGGCCCCCCGTACCCCGCAGTGTACGCAGCGATGGTCGAGCCTTTGGCAGTGCAGAAGGTCGGCAAGCAGAATTGCGAAAAGATGGAGGCCTGGGTAGCGGAGGTGGAGGCAGACTCTCCACTATATGCGCGTACATGCAAGCCGGAGGCGTGCAAGAGCGAGGGCCAGGTAAATACAGTGTTCTCCCTGGGCGATCCGACCGGCGAGTGTATCCTGATGCACGTTTTCGCCGGCCTAGGCGCGACAGTGACGACGGGAGCGGCACCCAGGATTTGCTGAAGAGTTGAGTAAATCCCAGCTGTGGACGCCGTTTACCGAGCGGTTGCAGCCTCGAGTTCGGTCACCTCGTTATCGAAGATAACGAGGACGATATTGTGGACCTCGAGGCTTCTCCTTTTTGTGATGAGTGAGCATGTGTGTGCGTGTTCAGTACTGACGTTCGCGCGCACGGTGCCTGCGCAGCCGCGTGCGCCTGGATATGAGTAGCGTTGCGACGCGGACAGCGGACATAGCGCATCCGCGCGTAGTTTTGGCCCGCTCCCTCCTCGTGCCGCCTCCCTCCTGCCTCGTCCGTCGCCTGCGGCCCCTCGCTCGCCTTTGGCCTCGCTCGGTCCCTCGGTCGTTCCCTCGCCTGGCTGCGGTCGGCCCCTGCGTTTGTTCGGCTGGCATGTGCATGGGGGGAGGGGCGGAGGGAGGAGGTGGAGGAGGAGGAGGAGGAGGAGGAGAAGGAGGAGGAGGAGGAGGAGGAGGAGGAGGAGGAGGAGGGGGATGGGCCCCCCACCAGGGCCCAGGCCCCGCTCAGGGTTGGACTCTTGGGGACGGACAGGAGAGCCGCCGTGGTCTCAGCGGACCCTCCTGTCTCTTTGATCGGAAGCTGGAACACACAGTGGCGACCAATGCCAAGAAACACCCTGCTTGCCTCCGTCGAAGAAAGAGCAGACAGGCCTCGGGGAAAAAAAAACGAACACTCATGCCACATTCGTCTGTCAACGCCTCCCCTTCCCCCACTGCTCAAAGTTGGCGGTGGGTCTGATGAGATGCGCGTCGACCGCAGATTCCCCCGCGCCTGATAATTTTGAGTTTGGGGGGAGTGGAAGTGTTCACTCAATATCCCCTCCACCGTAAAAGAGTGACTGCCTCCAAAAGCGGCGAAAGCCTTTTCTAAAACTTTCCCAGAACCCTTCGAAAACCTTCCCAAAACCCTTTCTGGAGGGTTCTCGAGGGTGTCCGGAGGGTTTCGGTATTTTTAAGGGAAACCAATCCTTAGCGAACCCTGGACTTCCTAAGCATACAGTGGCGATCCATGCCAAGAAACATATTGCTTGCTTCCATCGGAGATGAGAAAACACGCCATGAACATAGACTTGTGGAGTTCCGCGCGGATTTCTTGCATCCACGCTGGGTCCCCCTGGCGGCGCCTCTGGCGCCGCCCCTGGCGCGCTCCGCGCCAGGGAGGGGGGTCCAGCGCGGATCCAAGAAACCCGCGCGGAGCGCCACACGTTTACATTTAGTGCGTTTTTGTTTGCTTGTTATATATATATATGTATATATGTACGTATGTATGTCTGTCTGTCTGTCTGTCTGTATGTATGTTTGTATGTATGTATGTATGGATGTATGTATATATGTATGTATGTATGTATGCATGCATGCATGCATGCATGCATGCATGTATGTATGTATGTATGTATGTATATATATATATGTATTTGCATATATATGTATATATGTATGCATATATACATATATACATATATCCGTAACGGCTTCGCCCCCTGCCGCCGGCCCCCTCTTTCGGAGACTGGGCCATGGAAGAGCTAAGTCATGAGGTCTTGGCGCTGTCGTGAAGCAGTATCGAAACTTCATGCGAAGCCGATTCGCAATCAGCAACACCAACTGATCAGAAGAGGGGTTACCACACCTGGCGATTGGTAAGACGTGTATGGTTTACGGGCTTGGTTACCACACCTTGCGATTAAAGGGCCGAGGGAGTTCTCGCAGTTCGGGTTACCACGCCTTGCGATGGATGTGCGTGAAGGGTGGCACCGAATTTCAGAAATGTGGCAAATCCCCGGTGTTTTTGGACCCTGACCCCGCGGATCTGCGTAAGGGATGGCGCCGAACTTCAGAAATGTGGCAAATCCCCTGTGTTTTTGAACCCTGACCCCACGGATCTGCGTGAGGGGTGGCACCGAATTTCAGAAATGTGGCACATCCCATGTGTTTTTGGACCCTGACCCCGCGGATCTGCGTGAGGGGTGGCACTGAATTTCAGAAATGTGGCAAATCCCTTGTGTTTTTGGACCCTGACCCCGCGGATCTGCGTGAGGGGTGGCACCGAATTTGAGAAATGTGGCAAATCCCTTGTGTTTTTGGACCCTGACCCCGCGGATCTGCGTGAGGGGTGGCACCGAATTTCAGAAATGTGGCAAATCCCTGTGTTTTTGGACCCTGACCCCGCGGATCTGCGTGAGGGGTGGCACCGAATTTCAGAAATGTGGCAAATCCCATTTTTTTGGACCCTGACCCCGCGGATCTGCGTGAGGGGTGGCACCGAATTTCAGAAATGTGGCAAATCCCATGTGTTTTTGGACCCTGACCCCGCGGATCTGCGTGAGGGGTGGCACCGAATTTCAGAAATGTGGCAAATCCCATGTGTTTTTGGACCCTGACCCCGCGGATCTGCGTGAGGGGTGGCACCGAATTTCAGAAATGTGGCAAATCCCATGTGTTTTTGGACCCTGACCCCGCGGATCTGCGTGAGGGGTGGCACCGAATTTCAGAAATGTGGCAAACCCTGACCCCGCATCTGCGTGAAATTTTGGCAAATCCCATGTGTTTTTGGACCCCGCGGATCTGCGTGAGGGGTGGCACCGAATTTCAGAAATGTGGCAAATCCCATGTGTTTTTGGACCCTGACCCCGCGGATCTGCGTGAGGGGTGGCACCGAATTTCAGAAATGTGGGTGTTTTTTCGAGCCCCCCCAGCAATTCAGACAACGCGCCCAGGGGGTGCTAAAAATCTTGTTTGGGCCTCCCCCCCCCTCGCGCGGTCAATCAACTAGTTACAGTAACCAGCAAGAAGCAGAACTGTAACACTGGAAACTACAACCTACGACTGGTACAGGAAACTGCGAATCACGGGCCTACAGCCTGGTGGCCCCACAAGGGGGCCGGCGGATATATGTATATATGTATAGATACGGAATTTTTGGGTTTCGATGGTTTTGCTATGGACGGCGTGGCGCTCCCACGCCAAACATCCATGGACGTCCTGGGGTCTTGGGGCTGGGTTCCGTGTGGAGGGTTTCTTGTGAACTGGCCTCCGCTGTACAGTACCAGTGGCGGGCTGTCTTTCAATCCCTCGACTTTTCGATGGTCGGGGACAACGTCGGAGTAGTGTTGTGCACACTTTTTGTTTTCACGTCTTCTTTGCCAGAGAAGAAGCATGCATACACCAGGATCCCGTATACATCAGGATCCGCCTTCTTGTGCGAGTTTCAGTGCGGGGCCCCTCCTCCTTCTCCTCCTCCTTCTCGAAAAAAGCGTCGCTGGATAAAGTTCGGCTCCTTCTGTGAGGTGCTCATCTTCTCGCGGGCGCTGAACGGGAACCCCGTGGGCGCCGCGTGTTGGGGGAAGAACCGGCCGAAGGCCCGCCGAGCCCTCAGACAAGAGCACGGATGCTGAGTTTTCGTCGGTTTCGGTCTCCGGAGGTGGTCTCCCAGCCCGTGGCAGGGCCCAAAAGCACGGCTCTGGATGAGCAGGTGGTCGTTTTCGTTTTCCCTGTTTTGCTCTCGACCCCCCCCCCCCTGTGGAGTAGATTTTGAGTGTTTCTGGCGCCTGCGAGCAGGTGGTGGTTCCCCCAGGGGACGCACCGATGCAGGCAGCTGCAGCAGGCCGAGGTCTGGAGCCAGACCCCCCTCTCTCCCCCCGCCCCCTCCCGCCCGATGTCGAGGCGCCGGATGGGAGTAACGTTGGCCCGCTCGCCCCGGGGGAGGTGCCGAAAGCCCCGGGGGCCCATGTCGCAGAGCAGATTGCAGGAGGACGAGGAGGAGGAGGAGGAGGAGGAGGAGGAGGAGGAGGAGGAGGAGGAGGAGGAGGAGGAGGAGGAGGGGGGGGATATCATGGCTGGGGCCATGATGTCTCCCCCGATGTCCTGGCCCCTCTTCAGATTCCGATCGATGCGTCCTGGCACGCCCCCGGGCCGCGCACAGGCCGCCAGCCATGATCTGCGCCCCCCCCCCCCCCCCGCTTGGACGCCTCCTTTTTGGATGCCTCCGAGTCGGAGGAGGGGGCTGGGGCCCGTGTGCCACCGTGCTCTGCCAGGGTCGTGGCCTCGGCCTAGGAGGGCGCGTGGGTCGTGTCGGGGCCCAGGAAGTCGGGTTGCAGCTTCCCGGATCGGGGTTGTGATGTTCCAGCGAACTGTAGCCTTGACCGCCAGGAAGACTTCCGAGCGCCAGAAGAGTATCCCAAACTCGAGGGTTTTCACGTGTCGGGCCCTGAGAGACACTCGTCTGACAATGTTTCGACACTCTTTCGACACTCTTTCGACACTTTTCAGGGTGCTGAACATTATTTCTGGGATGTGGTCTTTAAGTACGATGGGAGCAACATAAGATCAGGTAAGCGTGAGACTCGAGTTCGCGGGTTCGCGGGTTTGCCCTTCGCTTTCCGACGAGCCTCAGCCACACGCAGAGGGGGGCGGGGGGAGGGGGGAGGGCTTTTTAATAGAAGCACCCCTGCTTCTTAGAAGGCGCGGGCCTTCTCTATAGATGTAAGGGCGGTGCCTTCTGAGAAGCAGCCTCCTTCCAAGAAGCCCTCCCCTTGAGCGCACCGCCAAGAGCCCGTCCTGGATTTTTGTCGGTCCATGGTTCGTGGGTTGTTTGCAGCGGGAGATCGCGTCAAATTTCAGGCTGGGTCTCGTCGTTTTCTTGACGGCCTCGCTAGGCCGACCGGGGACCCCCAAACCCGAGTCTTATATGTCTCGCAGACGGCAGACGGAATTCAGTCTAAGCCCAGCTTGTTCTGGACAATCCTGCCGCATTCCGCCTGGTTTGGCCGATCTGGTCTGACCTCGTCAGTCCTCTGCTGCGCCCGGCTTTGTGCGGCCTCGTGCGGCTCCGCAGCCCTCCAATCGGGCCCGCTCTGGTCCCGCTGCTTCTCTCGCGAGGGCCTCGCAGGAGTCCAGGACTAGGAGAAGAAAGCATACAGACACACAGCATCATCGATTTCCAGGAAAATGCAGGAAACGAATACAGTGGAGACCCATGACAAGAAACACCCTGCTTGCCTCCAGGGTGCCCTAGGTTTCTTGGGTTTCGATGGCTTTGCAATGGAAGGCGTGACGTTCCCACATCAAATATCAATAAACGTTCTGGTGTCTTAGTGTTGGGTTTCTTGTGGAAGGTTTCTTGTGGACTGGCCTCCACTATATGGGACATCGGGGGGAGAATGAGCATCCAGAGAGCATGACAACTGCTGGGAATCCTGGGCCTTGCGTCTGCTTCTTTGTGGGTGCGCCTGGGCCCCTTCCCGGGGAGCCTTGCCTCCGAAGGGAGGCCCCCGGCCAGGCGCGGTGAGGTAGAGGCGCAAGGCGAGGTTCGGAGGTTTAGACCGCCTACCCTGACGCGTCGATTAGCGAATTGGCCGTTTTCGGTTCGCGCGAGGGCGTCGAGGCTGTCATTCCTGCGGGTCCAGGTCCGTCGCTTTTGGTCCCAGGCCGTTCTCCCTAAAGGGTGGTCTACTAAACGGAGGTTTGTCCACCGCCGAGGGGTGCTCACTACTTACCAACCCGAACCCGACCCAATCCTCGGGACGATCGAAACGGGTACGGAAAGAGTGGTTACGATGCCCAACAGCAGTTCCTCTGCTCATTCTGAAAGGAAATCGCTGCCCGCGCCGCCGCGGACGTCGTTCTCTGGAGACAGAAAGCTGCCTGCCCAACAGCGTCCGCTGTCGGTTTTGGACACTACAGCCGGGACCCTGAAGAAGGAACCCTTTTCGTTGGGGAGGGGCTCGGTGTTCCTTGATTGTCTTACAGTTTGCCTCGGGTTTTCCTGAGGTTTTCCATGGGGAATCGAAGTTTGAGTTAAGGGAAACAGGGGCCTCGTTCCTTAGTTAGGGTTCCTTAGGTCAAGGCCCCGACTGTACTTATTGTTCGGTATGGTGCCCATCTGTTTGTATTCACGTCGGGCATCGAGAGAGGCCCGAAGATCCCAGACCCTCCCAGCTTTCGGGTCGGGGGGGGTGTACAGTCGGGGCCCTGAAGAGGGAACCCTTCTCGTTGGGGAGGGGCTCCGCGTTCCTTAAGTGTTTCGCAGCTTGCTTCAGGTTTTCCTTATGCTTTCGATCGGAAATCGAAGTTTAACTGATGGAAAAAAGGAGCCTCGTTCCTTTTTTGGGGTTCCTTAGGTCAAGGCCCGGACTGTACGGGCTCCACTGTGTCTGGTCGCTGTTCCAAAAAGGCCCCCCCCCCACTGGAAACTGGCAGACTCCCCGGCGACCTCTCGGGTTAGGCGGGTGGCCTGGTGGGCAGCCGGACGGACCATCCCAGCAAGGGCCTGCACGTTCTCTCAGGGCGTTCCCAAGCGCTGCGGAGGCTCCTGAGGAGGCAGAGGTGCAGTCGGACCGAGGCACAAGCTCGAGGTCGGTTCGGGCGGCGGATGCCCTCCGGTAGAGAGAAACAATTAGGGAACACTGCCCCTCCCCCCGAACTCAAACTTGGCCCGCGCTGGGGAGACTGCGGTCGAGGTGCAACTCATCAGACCCACCGCCAACTTTGAGCATTGGGGGGAGGGGGAGGCGTTGTCAGATGAATGTGGCATGAGTGTTCGCTATTTTTTCCCGAGGCCTGTCGTGCTCTGCGTGTTTGTTGGCCTTTCTCGTGCACTCCGGGGAGGTTACCCTTGGATGTCTGTCTGTTTTGGCCGACGCAGGGTCTCATTCTCGAGGGGTGCCTTTCTGGCCTGGGTCCGACTCTGCCGATACCGCTGCCCTCGCCTCGTGTTCCCCTTCCTGGGCCTCCTGGGCGGCCCTCGTCGCCACCGCCGGATTCGCCTCGTAATTCTGGCCAGGTCGCACCCCAGGAGAGCTCCAGGGAGCAGCGGTATCGGTACCTTTTGCTTTCCCCAGAACGGGCAGCGGCGCCCGATGCGTCCCCCAGGACCCCCGTCTCTCGGGGAGTCCCGATGTACCGGCGGCGCCCACAGGAAGGTGGCACGATCGGGGGGTGGGCTTCCCAGAAGGCGGGAGAGATCACGAGAAGGCACTGGGTCTTCTCAGAGGGGCCTGGCCTGGCGGGTTCTATCGGGTATCGCCAGGACCCTCGTCAAGGGGAGCCGGTTCGTGATTGGGTCCCGAAGCACAAAATATGGATTATGGAATCCCTAGACCAGGTCTGCCACAGCTGGTGCCGTTCGGGTGACGGCAATTCCGGTTTTAGTGGAACGGGACGGGGGGGGCGTCCCCGATAGAGAGAGCCCTAAACCAGGATCCCCAAGGCCCTGTCCTGCCATCGCCCGATGCTAGGACGGCAGCCTGGCAGCCAGGAGGCTCTCTGCGGAGCCCTCCTGCGTTCT